GTGGGTGGCCACGTAAGAGGCCTCGTCTTTATCTGTCTGATGAGGATGAGAGGCTTTTGTTTGAAGACATGCGGGAGAATTTGGGATGACGGAATAACATAATGAACTGAAGGATGCTGCCCATATGAATCTCTCTGGCATGTGGTGTCATTTTAATTTGTCTGTTTAGGTATTCATTTGGCACGGTGAGGATGTCAGAGCGGTTTTCCACTCAAAGTAGCACATGATCACCTATTTACATAAATCATAAGGTTTGTAAACACTGCATATTAAGTGAAAATGATTATAACATACAATTTTTAAATATCCGTCTAAAAAAACGTAAAGAAAGTTGCTTTTTGAATGTAGCAATGTCTGATTTGTCAGGGTTTAACAATATTCTTCTCACAATACATCGCAATACAAAAGAAACGATGTCCATATTTGCATTGTGATATATGTACCGTGTATAATTAACCCCAAAAAAATGTTTTAGACATTTAATTTAGATTGAATAAATAATAAATTATTTAATAATACAATATTTAAAACTTTTTAAATGCATGTAGTCAGGGACAGCATATGTGTCATATGTTGGTAAAAAAAGGACCAACTCCAAGCCTATTCAATTTCACCCCTGGTGTAATACCAAATTTAACATTTTACTGTATAGTACCTTTTGTTAACAATTTAACATATGGCGCGTGTTAGAAGAAATAATAATACATTTTTTTTTTTAAAAATACCATTTTAACTTTGACTTTGTTCAAAGTATTGTAAGAGTAGCAGTATCATATATCATATATTTATATATCTCTTTCTTTATGATTACAATTAGCAAATGTTTGACAAGCTAACCAAGATTCCAGGATTAAATTATTACTAAAACATTCCAGGATTTTTCTCTATATAATGGACTTCAATGGGAACCAAACAGTTCAAGGTCTAAAAGACAGTTTCAGTAGAAACTCCAAACTGTTCAAAGGGCTTTAAACGATTCCAGATGATGAATAAGAGTCTTATCAAGCGAAACGATCGCTCATTAAAAAAAAAAAAAAAACAAAGTTTAAGTTTTATAAGCACAAATGGTCGCCTTGCTCTGTTCTGTGATGAGCGTTCGTGACTCTACTGTTCAAACTCGTTCATCAAACTGAACGAATCTTTTTTCATGCCATTTGGTTCATTCAACAATCGAAATGAACGAGTTGACTCAGGAAAAGGTCATTTCATTCATTCACATCGTCTGAAATCGTTTAAAGCCCTGTGAACAGTTTGCAGTTTGCACTGAAACTGCCTTTTGGACCTTGAACCGTTTGGTTCCCATTGAAGTCCATTATATGAAGAAAAATCCTGGAATGTTTTCATCAAAAACCTTAATTTCTTTTCGACTGAAGAAAGAATGACATGGGCGTCTTGGATGACATGGGGGTGAGTAAATTATCAGCAAAAGTTTTTTAAAAGTGAACTACTCCTTTAAGCATAGAATCAAGAATCAAATATGGTTTGAAGAATCAAAAATAGGTTCATCGATAATTCCTCGAGGTACAAAAACTTTTCAGCTCTCTTTAATGTCACATAAAACACAAAATGTAGGAATGGAAAAAAAAATGCACATATTTGAGTATTTCAGTGTGATTTCATGATGCTTTAGGTGAAAAAAGAGCCTCATAATGAAAGCCTCCAAACCAAAAAATGTGCTTTTCTCTGAACCGGAGTCTGCAGGTGCTGCAATCAGCCGCACCACTGAGTGAATCTAATGAACATTCACACCACCGTGATAATGATCTGATCTAAAGCCAGTCGAGGGAGATGAGATGAAACAGAATTTGAAGATGGCTGTAAAAAGCTCCAATCACTGACGACTCATTCATACAAGCAAGTATCCATCAGTATAGCTGGCAGAATTTCTGGATTCTGGAACGAAATGGAGATCCGAATCAACTCTCTTTATGTCAAGTAAAAGCTCTTGGGTTTTTAGGCTCGGTATGTCTTATAGGTGAAAGTGTGGAAGGGCATTGCAGGAGCAATTTTGGCAGAGCACACTTTGTCGGACAAGTAGCACATCTGTGTCCCTGTAGGGGGTCAGTCACCGCGGACACCCTGAATATCCAAAATTACTTCCAAGCAACCATCATGCCATGCAGAGGTTGCGTATGAAAACATCCTCACCTCCAAAACTAGCTAAAAAAAAAAAATATCACAATTTGCTCTAATTGACTGTGAATGCATGTGCGAATTTGTGTTCGTCGGGAATTAACGGAAATATCTCTGCCCAATACACATTATGCAAATAAGCACTTTGGGCTTTATAAAATGCTAAGGAATTTTGCCTGCCAATCCTAAAAGCAATCTCTCAGACACAAATACACTTAAATGCTTCCAGCATCTTTACTAAAATGCTAAATTATGAAATAATAATCGTAATTATCTTCGCTTTCTCAACGCCCCTTAATGTGTCAGAGGGTCATTACAATTTCTCTCACATTCAGCCATTTAAAGGGCTTTCGTGACTTTGCTGATGATAAAAAAAAGTGCTTGATTTCACCAAGCCGTTGAGTTACTATGTGATCTGACTAAGAAGTGCTCCTCTTAATGTCGGCGAGACGTTTAGAAATGCCTCTAGAGCGAGTCTAATCAGAAGGCCATGCTTCTGATCATGAGCAAACATATCCATTCCCTCATTAAGCTGAAGGTATGGCAATGCATGGGCTGTGGGGTATAATATGCATACGCTAAAAGATTCCCATTTTAGATTAGAGTTCACAAATATAATGTCCAGTTTTATAGGACAAAGACAATTTTTACAATACAAGGTTGCGGCTCTTTATTATTCATATTCATCATGGTTGAGGAATTCTTTATAATGCATCTTGATGAGAAATGAACACCTTAGGCTAAATCCATACACAATTGAATCATACGCATGGGTTTACTCTCAATTTGTAAAATAATAGCAAATATTAGCTTAGGATTCTTTTTGTAATAGAGAGTTATATGGAAAACAAACTGATAGCTTTATCAGGATGTATAGCGACAGCTTATATATTCAGCTTCCATCGCCATATGCTCATGAAAATCTTTGCATTAACATACTGGTACTTTTAGAAACTCAAGACACAATCTTGTCATCTGTGGGTTTTTTAAAGGTTATTCTGTCTCCTGACTCTACATCTAACCTTTAGCAGACATCAAACACAATGAAGTTGTCAGAAAACACTCAGATACGGACAGAAAATGGTGTCAGGACAGTTCACTATTCTTAGGATGGGTTATAACCTTTGACCTTAAATAGACTGTTAAATCACGTGAGCAGCTGTGAGGCTGCAACTCAGTTAAGCTGTATTCCCTATAGGATGACATAGGCAAGATTTTTTTTCCAGCACAAATAAATAACTCGACAGCATCATTAAATCATGCATTACTTAAGGAAGTGATTTATGCAGGCTTCTGTGGGTATAACACATTTCTTCTCCAAAGCACAGTTATGGCTGCCAGAAAAAAAGCTTGTCAATGACAAACTACATTATACTGAATTAAACAGGACATAAAAAAGAAGATACCGTCAAAATAGGGAATCTAAGGCTGATATTTTATACGTAGCAAAAGAAAATGGAGTAATTAAATGCATTATTTTAATAAAAACTCAGGTAAAATGCATATTTGACGTATGCCAATTTGCCAAGTCTGTTGTTGTTGCCACTTTGACAAACTCTATCAGACTCTATGGACGCGAGGCAGAATGAAACGATGAGCAACCCCGCCTAGTGGTCAGCAGTGGTACTGTGGCTTGTAATATACAGGTAGAAAATGTATTGCAGCAAAGGAAAATACGCATCCCTAAAATGGTTAATTATTTGTAATATTTAAATGACAGTTATTTTTTACATATATAATTACAATTTGAGTTAAATGCATAAGAAATTTTGTTGCTGCAACAGTTACACTGATGACATGGTACATGACCTGCAAGACAGGTCGGTTTTTGAAACAGATATCAAAATTTCTTGAATAAATAAAAACAGCCTACAGTGAACCAAAACTTTTTTCCCTCTTTTCTGTTACACAAGTCTACATCAAGATATGTCGTAGTAGATCACTGTCTATCCATAAATTGAGTAGTAGGCCTAAACTCTTTATAAGCTATTCCCTGTATCATGATACCATCGATATGATGGACAAAATTGTACCGTAGTTGCGAGTACACCAGAGTCCTCCTATGCAATTGTTCTTGCCTCACTAAATGCCGTAAGTGTCCTACTTTTTGGTGTTATGGAAATGGCCATCCTACCTGCCATATTTATTTGCGTAATATAGCTATAATAACGTTGACTATTAGGCCTACATGATATCCGTGCTGTTGTTCAGAAAACAGTTTTCTTGTTCTTATGATAGCACTTATTTAACAGCGTTAAAAATCAAGTAATTTCAAATATCAGGCCTACATTGGTTAACTAACTTACATTTTTAAGGCCACCAACAGCAAAAGGCACAGCCACAGATTGAAAGCCTTGGATGTCTGTCTGGAGTCTGGAACTTGTCTGGACACAAAAGAAACACGACATGAGGCGAATGATTTCGGGAGCAAAACACATGACTTAAACTTCAAACCTACATTATGCTGCTATTAAAATACTCAAAGCATTCCTTCGGTTTGCAAAAGGAAACTCTGACGCTTCGACTTTCTTAAAATCTGCTATTTGCAAAAGCCAAATCGGCTTGGAACCGCGAACTGCAGCGCGGAGACATCTAACGGAGATCATGCGTCCCAATGCAGCTATATTTTATATCAGCACTATTTAAAACATATTTGATATCATTAATAAAAGTAGGCTATACTTAAAAAACAGTGACATTAATTCAAATTATACCTCTTAACGATATATAATATCCATTTTCATAATAATTACCTATAATATTTAATATTATTATTAGCTATAATGTAAACAAAGTATCATTGCAAACATGATCACGTTGAACTGTGGAATGAGCGCGCGTGCGCGCTTCCTCTCTGCCCCCTCCCCTTAGCAACAGAGGCAAGATGGCGGCCCCCAGTAACGCCGAGCGTTCTCCTGATATATCGGTGCCTCTGAAGATTCCTAAAACCGAGGTTCCTTCCCCAGAATCCGAGGATCTAAGTGACAGCAACCAATACCATTCCAACCCCTCCACCCCTAACAGATTCTCTCCTCTGAACGTCGGGGCTTCGCTGTCCGGGGGCGCAGGCCGGAGTGGATCGGCCTCTGCATCCAACAGCTTCACCGCTTGTCGAGGCATGTCGTGGACACCGTCCGAAACAAACGCGCTGATCGCCGTGTGGGGCAACGAAAGACTGGCGGAGGCGCGGATGCAGCAGCTGGAGGTGGCCGGGACGGTGTTTTCTGGCAAGGCGCCGGGACCTGCGATGTACGATCGGGTGTCCAGAGCGCTGTCAGAGCTGGGTTATGAAAGAACCCCATCACAGTGTCGAGAGAGGATGAAGGTAAATAACACACCGAAACACAAGGCTGTCACTCGGATATGCTCAGAGACGTGTTGTCATGTCTGTTTGGCCGTTTGTTTTTGTTATATAGGGCTTTGGAGAAGCTGTCAAAATCAAAACACTGTCTGTCTCACCTCAGGGCAGGCTTATTAGACCGATGGCTGTCAGTTGTGAACACGGAGCTGTTGTCATGTTTATGGAAGATTGTCTCTACTCCACACTCATAGAGCTTTGGTGAAGATGACAAAATGGTTGTGATTAAGGGCATCCAACTTTAGATATCACATAATATTCAAATATAAACACAAAAGCTTGTCTGTACTGCCTGCTTTAGCATACTGTGAAATCACATATACCCACCACCACAACATGAAAGTGATTTACATTTCATCATATATATATATATATATATATATATATATATATACACACATGTGTATTTCATAAGGTTGTGCAAGCTGAGGTGCCATCAGATTTGAGAAGTTAATCAAGGAAATTGAGTGTGTCTTTTTAAGTGTGAGTCCGTGCTTTTTAAGTGGTTTAAGTATAAGAAAGTTGTTCACGGTTTATAAGGAGCAAGTGCTTATTTGTTAGCCTATATTCCTCAGAATCGGTTCAAATACAGTGTTCCATCTTCACGTACATTACTGCTTTTTAGAAACATGTCCTTGATCCCTGTGGTCCTCTGCAGACACTTAGAAGGTGTTATAGCCGCGTGAAGGAGCACGGCATTGGGAAGAGGAAGAGCAGTTACTCCATCGAGCAGCTGGAGAAGGTGTTTGGGCAGGGCGGCTGGGATTCCCAAAGCTGTCAGCCTGTGCTGATCAACAGCAGCGGCCTCTACCAGGAGATGGAGTCAGACGGCAGTACTATGGAGGACTACTCTCAGGAGGACTGGTGCAATCAGGACCTTTCTGCAGCCTTCAACGAGGGAGACATAGAGACAGGTGAAAGCATTAATCTGTGAAGTCACAGATGTAATATCCTCTGTCTTTAAAAAGGAGATGGTTAAAAATCAAGGTTGGCAAGGTGTTTCACTTTCCACAGAATTCCTCATGAGGCTCCACTGATTTCCAGAAAATTATATATATATATATATATATATATATTTAAGAAATATTTGCATGTATATACTTTATATATATATATATATATATATATATATAAGTAATTGATATATTAATAACACATTTTTCTTAAATGTATACATGCATGTGTGCGTTTTTATATATACAAATTAATTATACACACTACACACACATATATTATGTAAACACAATTTTGGATACTATTAATCGCGATTGCCCAGCCCTAGTATTTATTATCAAAATTACATATTTATTCATATTTATGTGTAATATGAATGAACATATTTTGATGTTTTTCTGCAATAACAGATTACTTCCACAGATTTCCAATTTTCTACTAAAATGTTATAAAAGTGTGCCATTTGTGGGCCTAGTTATCAACCTGAATGCCACAAAAATGTGTATTTCTAATATCCCAAATAATTCAATCTTGTCTTTCACAGAGGAGAACCAGCTTCCAAAAACTAGAGTTCTTCAGATAAGACTGGAGCCATCTGAGCACACCCAGTAAGTTTAAGCCAATGTTCAATGTTTAAATATTCAGTCTTTCTCCTCACGTCCTCTTCTCCTTATGCTTTCTACAGACGCCAGGAAGTGATGCAGAACGTGATGCGTATCCTCGAGTCCGTAGAGGTCAAATGGGAGCACTTTCAGACATGGACTGACTTCTCTCGCCTCCACCTGTCCAATAAGCTGGCCATCTTCGGAGTGGGCTACAACACGCGGTGGCAAGAGGAGATCCGCTACCACTACGCGGAGATCAGCTCGCAGGTCCCTCTGGGAAAAAGACTACGGGAATACTTCAACCCTGAGAAGGTCGAGGGCAGGGTTATCATGACCAAGGTGCAGAAGATGAACTGGAAAAACGTGTATTATAAATTCCTCGACATTACTATAAGCGAAGCTCGCTGTTTGGAGCTGCACATGGAGGTGGACTGGATCCCGATCGCACAGACGAGAGCGGCAGGGTGCAGCAACAGCTCCCAGTACCTCCTGCCAGGGGGCATCCCAAAAACATACGGCCTGTACGCCATAGGCTACGAGGAGACCAGCGGGTCCAATTCGTCTGGCGCAGAGGACAAGTCCTCATCCTCGCAGGAAGAGGAGGAGACGGACCATTGCGAGAGCGCAGAGAAGGACAAGAGGACATCAGCCAAAGTCACGTACTGTTACCTCGGCATTTCAGAGGACAGGACGCTACAGCAATGTCTGGTCCAGCACTTTCAGACTTCAGGCAAACACTATGGACGAGGGGAGCCTTCAGCCATAACCAAGTTCCTGCAGGACAACTGCACCGGCCAGGCCAGGGAAAGCACCCTCTCTGGATTACACATCTACATTAAGTTTATCGAGGTGGAGCTGGACTTTCTCTCCGCCGGATCTTTATTGGAATGTTTAGAGACGGCGATCGGTTATTCGTTAAAGTTCAACAAAAAGAATGTGCTGTAACATTTGCCAATTAAGCTTTTAAAAGCCAGGAAATTGAAATATACACTCACTTAAAGGATTATTAGGAACACCATACTAATACTGTGTTTGACCCCCTTTCACCTTCAGAACTGCCTTAATTCTACGTGGCATTGATTCAACAAGGTGCTGAAAGCATTCTTTAGAAATGTTGGCCCATATTGATAGGATAGCATCTTGCAGTTGATGGAGATTTGTGGGATGCACATCCAGGGCACGAAGCTCCTGTTCCACCACATCCCAAAGATGCTCTATTGGGTTGAGATCTGGTGACTGTGGGGCCATTTTAGTACAGTGAACTCGTTTTTATGTTCATTATTCGAGCTTTGTGACATGGTGCATTATCCTGCTGGAAGTAGCCATCAGAGGATGGGTACATGGTGGCCATAAAGGGATGGACATGGTCAGAAACAATGCTCAGGTTGGCCGTGGTATTTAAACGATGCCCAGTTGGCACTAAAGGGCCTAAAGTGTGCAAAGAAAACATCCCCCACACCATTACACCACCACCACCAGCCTGCACAGTGGTAACAAGGCATGATGGATCCATGTTCTCATTCTGTTCACGCCAAATTCTGACTCTACCATCTGAATGTCTCAACAGAAATCGAGACTCATCAGACCAGGCAACATTTTTCCAGTCTTCAACTGTCCAATTTTGGTGAGCTCTTGTAAATTGTAGCCTCTTTTTCCTATTTGTAGTGGAGATGAGTGGTACCCGGTGGGGTCTTCTGCTGTTGTAGCCCATCCGCCTCAAGGTTGTGTGTGTTGTGGCTTCACAAATGCTTTGCTGCATACCTCGGTTGTAACGAGTGGTTATTTTAGTCAAAGTTGCTCTTCTATCGGCTTGAATCAGTCGGCCCATTCTCCTCTGACCTCTGGCATCAACAAGGTATTTTCGCCCACAGGACTGCCGCATACTGGATGTTTTTCCCTTTTCACACCATTCTTTGTAAACCCTAGAAATGGTTGTGCGTGAAAATCCCAGTAAGTGAGCAGATTGTGAAATACTCAGACCGGGCCGTCTGGCACCAACAACCATGCCACGCTCAAAATTGCTTAAATCACCTTTCTTCCCCATTCTGACATTCAGTTTGGAGTTCAGGAGATTGTCTTGACCAGGACCACACCCCTAAATGCATTGAAGCAACTGCCTTGTGATTGGTTGATTAGATAATTGAACAGGTGTTCCTAATAATCCTTTAGGTGAGTGTACTTGAACTCAAAGTATTTATGTGGTATGTCAGGCACAGTCTGTTCCGAAAGGGGCGGTAGTCTCCTTTGCAGGACCGTAATTGTCTTTATCAGGGAGCGTAAATGGGAGCAAACTGCCTTTTATTTAAATCTCTCGAGCCAGTGCAACAGAGATCCGAATGCAGGAACAGTCCGAAAAAAAAAAGAATCCTCAACGAGAACTCTTAATTAATCTAAGTATAAAGTCTATCTATACAGAAGTATAAATATATATATTTAAGAGTATATATTGATATTGTCAAGCATTCCAGCATTTTCAACGATAACATTCGAAGAATGTTTTTCATAAACCGTTTATCAATATTTGTTTTTTATTTGTGAGCTCACACAGTGTCTTTATGTATGATTGTTTCCAGGTCACAGTCTTGTTTACATGTTTGGAAGGACAAAAAAATAAATTGATGAAATTAAGTGCTGTTCATTTACTCTCAGTCATTTTTTTCTTTCTTTTTAATGGTTTTATTTATTCAAACCTTGCAAAATAACACAATAATGTTAATTAAATGTTAAATTCATCTTAAATTAGTCTTTTGCACCACATTTCAAGAACTTGAGATGGTCTTTTTTGGGACCAGCAGGTGGCAGTAAAGATCTGTAAGAATAAGTGTCCATTAATGTAATTCTAGAATAGTGAATTATGCATTATAAATACTACTTATAGGCCTAGTGCATGTCAAAGTACCTGTCAAACTTTTGAAGTAAAGTCCTTTTTCCAATTCTTAAAACTTGCAATACTTTAGTTCAATTTGACCCCGATGTAGTGAATTGCACCCCCAAATCAGGAGACAGTATCGTTCGTGTTTTATTTAAAATAATGTGTACTTTCTCTTTGTAATTCTGCTTGTGTTGTAAAGCTGTTTTATGGTGTTGCAAAGGTAGTTGGAGTGCTGGCGTTGGTCGAGCATGTGCAAAGAGAATCAATAATTCAAACACAAAGACTAATTTCCCTGCTTAGCCTGTCATATGAGATGAGTTTCTCCCTCGGCCAGGAAACAAAAACACTCCCAATGGATGTCGCTACACTTTATCTAACCCCAAACATTTATTATTTGCTTTACTGATTGATTTCTCTGGTTTAAAAATATTGGATGATGACTAAAATATATTGATTTTATCTTGTTCATAACACCTTTATCTCATGGGTATTATACAATCCTTGTGGTTTTTCCTTCGAATCTTTTTAAATCATTATTTAGCTTTTCAAACCAGAAACATTGATATTACTAATATTACTTGTGTTCTTAAAAAAATAAAGTACAAAAATATATGCGAAGTGTACTTGCTGCCAGACTAATTATCAGTATACTTCAAGTGTGTTAATATATTTGCACTTTATTAAAATATATTTTTTAATAAAGTGCAATTAAAACAAAAAAAATAAGTGCACTTTTAAAAAATAAACAGAATTTTCACTTCAAGTATTTTTAGTATAACTGTGTGTGTGTGTGTGTGTGTGTGTGTGTGTGTGTGTGTGTGTGTGTGTGTGTGTGTGTGTGTGTGTGTGTGTGTGTGTGTGTGTGTGGTGTGTGTGTGTGTGTGTGTGTGTGTGTGTGTGTGTGTGTGTGTGTGTGTGTGTGTGTGTGTGTGTGGAGAGAGAGAGAGAAAAAGAGAAACAACAATTTTTGTGATTTATCCATCAGTTTCTGATTTAAACCTTTATTAGATTTGTATGTAGATTATCATATTATATTATATTATATTATATTATATTATATTATATTATATTATATTATATTATATTATATTATATTATATTATATTTAGGGCTGTCAATGATTAATCGTGATTAACCGCATCCAAAATAAAAGTTTGTTTTTACATAATATATGTGGGTGAACTGTACATAATTATTTTGTATATAAATACACACACGTGGATGTATATTTAAGAAAAATGTATTATTTATATATAAAATATTTATATGTAATATTAATTATATATATAGTATATACATGAAAATATTTCTTAAATATATACAAGCATGTGTGTATTTATATATATATATATATATATATAATTATACACAGTGCACTCACATATATTATGTAAACAAACTTTTATTTTGGATGTAATTAATCATTTGACAGCCCTAATTATATTATATTATAGAATAACAATAAAAATAATTATTATTCATATATAAAATAAAGTTAAATTAACCAGTTACTTTACAAATTCATTCAGATTTATGTTCCCAATTACGATAAAAAAAAAAAATAGGAACGTAATCCTAATGTGCTTTTCACGCTTATCTCCTGGTTGTTTATGAGTTGTGTGGTCATAAATGATGATGATGGACCTTAATCACACTACATGTCATTATCTGTGTTATTTGCTTGTCTGGGAGCTGTGAGATGATGATTGTGGCTCTGAATGAGTTGTGTGTAACTGTGTGACTAACAGCACTGACCTTTGGTCTGACGTAGCTTTTACAGCTCTGAATTGGTCAGTTTTGCCTTGGGAATGGCCAATAAGACATGCTTCTGATGTGTTGTGTTTGTGTCTTTTTTTAATAGTCGTTTATAGAATAAAAAAATGACCCTCTCTGTCAGGGCGTGTTATATTGTAGTTTAAACATCTGTTTATTCTATCCCAGCTCACCCTGTTCTTTGAATTTTGTCTGGATGCGGTTTGCCTGAGGTGCTCGAGCGCATTTAAGATATTAGCTTTGACTGCAAAACCACATGATCGTGTCCGAGTGGCCCAGGGTGTAATCACAGAACTGAGCTCATCCGCCCCTAATAATCCAGCAGTCCAACTGCATCCACCTCAGCCCTGTTTCCATGGCAACATGCCATCCTAAAGAAACAGGAGTGAGGAGGTATTCACCTCCGAGGGCTGAGACCACTGTACCGCTGTGACAAGCCCCACTCCCTGTCCTGTTGCATTATCATTTCAAGAGAAACGCACAACATTAGTGCTGCTGTCCCGTCTTACTGAACAACCTGAGTGTGTTTTTATTGGTCTTCAGTCTTTTAAAGAGTTAAATGAAACTTGGAAAGTCAACCTGGGTAATAGATACCACGTGGCATGAACTGTGACTGCAGTCATAGTCATATATTAACCATAAGTATGTACATGAATTACTGACCTGTGAACATTCTATAATGTTTTGACAATGACTTGATAGTGAAAGGGAAACAAAATATCTATCTATCTATCTATCTATCTATCTATCTATCTATCTATCTATCTATCTATCTATCTATCTATCTATCTATCTATCTATCTATCTATCTATCTATCTATCTATCTATCTATCTACACTCTAAAAACTGCTGGGTTGTTTAAACCCAAATATGGGTCAAATATGGACAAACCCAACCATTGGGTTAACTCTTATATTTACATTTTTAACCCAATAGTTTGTCCATATTCGACCCATCGTTGGGTTTAAACAACCCAGCATGTTTAGTCTATCTATCTATCTATCTATCTATCTATCTATCTACCTATCTATCTATCTATCTATCTATCTATCTATCTATCTATCTATCTATCTATCTATCTATCTATCTATCTATCTATCTATCTATCTATCTATCTATCTATCTATCTATCTATCTATCTATTTGTCGATTTGTCTGTCTGTCTGTCTGTCTATCTGTCTGCTTTTGTTTCTTTTGCAGACTTCACCTGTAACAGAAGCGATGACGTCTCAGTCCACGCAGGGGGGCGTTGCGCGCGTGCAGGTGCATTCATCTCGGACTGAACTATACTGCTAGTGTTCACCACCTCACTCTCGTTGGCTGTGTAGTGCGTAGAGAAACTCACTTCGCCGCGAAACAAACGGACACTTGTTCGGTCTCATTCCACTGAATTCTGGAGTCAAAGATGATTTCTAGCTAGGAT